TTGTTCTGTAGGGGAGAGGGGGATGATTGATTTTGACCTTGGAAATTGATGTCAGTGTTCCAAGACTTTAGGCAGACATTGTAGGTTAATCTGAGAAAATTTGAATCATTTGTGAAAATTGAAGTTTTCATTCAAATGACCTTGTGAACTGTAGCTCAAAGAGAAGCATAAGAAAGGTATAAGTTCAAAAGAAAACAGTTGTTTGGTAAAAGGCAGTCCTAAAAAGAATGAGAGGCGATGCAATACAGGAAAAACGAAGTTTTGTATGAAAATGCAAGTATTTTCAACTACATTCATCATAATGGGGATAGTGTGATCCAAAGAAAAGAATAATCCAACAAATCCTTTAGTAACTTAATTTCCAAGGAATACGCCGAGGTCTATGGGGCCTCATAAAGTAATGAATTCAATTTTAAGACTTGAATTAATCAAACGTAATAAGAGCATGCCTTATAATAACAAAATGCTTTAAACGACTGCAAGAAAATACCTACAAGAAGAATTCTGAAATGTATTTTAAGCTAATCTAAAAAGCGTGGTCGTAAAAATTTTCTGCTCGCTTTGCTCGCAGGGAAGCCACTTCTTTCGAATATCCCTATAGCCTCCGCCAACCTCCCACCGGCCCCCTTCAAACGTACCGCTAGGATAATAAGTGCCCCATAAAATAATCGGCATAAAATATCGTGAAGCGTTTTTGTGCGTTTTTCAAAAGATGGTTCTTTAGTCTAATAATTCTATCATTTCGAGCACCCCCCCCCTAACTTTGAATTTCTTGGCGCCGCCCCTGTGAAAGACTAAACGACCTCACGATTCCTACTTGCGAGAAAGACATTTTGGACAACGTAAATTTAGATAAGATAGTGGAGCAATGGGCAAGTTGTAGAAGAAGAAAAATTAAACCCTGATTTTTGGACTACGTATGTTTTGATGCACTAATTAAACTAACAGTTTTTATGCTCAATCTTCCAAATTTACGAAATCTAGAAACTTTATCGTACAGCTGAATAATTATTAACGAGACGATATAAGGTTTTGTTGATAAAAGACTATTAACGTTTAGGCCCTCATACAAAATTAGAATTGACCTTTGTCAGTCGGAAATTTTGAGCCCTTCACCCCCCCAAAAATATCTGCCAATTTACGTCCCTTGTCTTAAAGGTCCAGAAAAGACAGCACAACACAGCAGACAGAAGTATACGGGTGCAAGGAACAGAGCTGGACGAATTTCAAAAATTCAAAATATTTAGGCGGACGATCACTGAAGACGGACGATCAGAAAATGAATGATGTAAGGCCAGATTAGCACAAGCAACTGAGACATGACAAAAAACGAACAACCGTGATTCCTGCTCAGCTGCCATGAGTGCAAGTCGAAATTTTCAAGCTTAGAGCTTAGTTTAACGGGATCTTTTGAGAAAAAAAAATTAGCATGTTTGTTAGATTGTTAGGGTACATGCCAGGTATCCGCAGGTCTTTGGTTGGACCTGATTGATATTCTGCTATACTCTTCAGTTTTCGTATGTGAATAAATTTCTGTTAGTAAATTCGATAATCCGAGTACAATTGTAACCGAGCCACAGTTTGTGAAAACAGGCATTGTCGTTGCGTGCAAACTTAACAAAGTCTGCACGCAGGCTAGCATCAAAGTAGCTCTATAGAAATTTTCGGCTGTTTCTGAGTCGATTAACCTTTCAAACATGACAACTCATAACAAATGTGTTCCGTTATTGACTCATAGCTCCTTTGTAAGATTGATTTATTCCAAATAAACACTTCATCCCTTGCTATGCATCTGCTTTTTTGTTTAAAAGTTTAAAAGCCCACCCAAACGGATATCTACAGGCAGTGGCGGACTGGCTCAGGATTTTTAACCGGCCACAAATAACTGGAGGGGCCCAGGTGGGTGTGGTCTGAAAATAAGGGCGTGGTCAAGCGAGAACTTCATCATAATCGATCAATTTCTAAGCAACATAACATATGCAGCACTAATAGCAAAGTTGAGCTGTTGATTAAAAATGGACGCTGAGTACACTAATTGAAATTTAACATTAAATGATAAAAATTCTGTCTAATTTGGATTTCAGTAATTTTGCACAAGAGACTTTCTCGAAGAAACAAAGTTAAAAGTTATAAGAAAACTAACCTCAGATGCATAAAGGACAGTTAGTTCAAATTACAGAATATCTGAGGCGTGAGGAAGCCTTATCTTTACTGAAACTTAAACTAAAGATGGCAGACCTAAAAAATAGCAAACTAGAAAGGAAGGTACACTGATTCGCTCTGTAGAAGTTGTGGCTTCTATGCGGAATACATTAAACGTCTATCGGATTGTATAAAATTCTATCAAAAATTCAAAATGGAAAAACTTGCTTAGCGACAAATAAAGCCAAAGTGAATCATTTCTATATACGAAAACTTGATATCTAAATCATGGTATTATAGCTAGATTATAGCAAGAAGGTTCAGGTTTCCTTTAATTTTTGTGTAATCATCCGCTAAATTGGTTTGCTGTCTGTATTTTAGACTTAATATGTGCTTACAAACTTTATTTCTCACAAAACTTTTAGGTTTATCAATTTGAAGACCATTTCAATCAAATGCTACCAGAAGTTGCATTTCTTTAATTTGCTTTCCAAGAAACCAGTGATCAGCCCTGTCCCCTTGTTGCATCAATTTTGCCTTCTTTTCTGAGAACCACTTGCGACTTGAAGTTTATTCGTCCATTATGTGCAATTTGGCTTATTTTCTCCAATTTATTGACATCTTTTTAATGTCAATTTTTCATTCCACGAGGCAATAACTTACCCGTTCGTGTTTTATACTAAACAGTCCAGCGCAAGCAAAAAACTCGATTATTCGGTAAACAAATCTTTAAGACGATGCAGCGACCCCCGTTGAAGAATCATCCGCATCGCATTATCTTAATGCTATGGCTTGAGTAAAAGAAAAAGTTAACGCCGAGTTTGTTACTGAACCACTCCTTACTTTTTTGCTACCTGGCAAAAATTTAAATGAACTCGACAATTAATGCCGGGCAGTTTAACTGAACCTGGGTCTATGAAAAATAAAAAATTTCAACAAGTTCCATCATATTAAAAATTCCAAATCTCTATTAACCTCTCATAATCTAAAAAAAGTCATTCATTTTCCATCTTCGATCCAATCTATTTTATAACCACATGCTATGACGTTTATTCAACCTCAATTTTTAAGTAATCCATGATATTTATTATTCGTAATGGGACATCTTAAGGCCCCACATTCCTAAAATGGGGCCCTTTTTCTGCAAAGATGGGGCCCTTTTGCCAGATTTCAAAGGGGGCCCACCGGCCACGGGCCGATGGGCCGGTGGGCCAGTCCGCTACTGTCTACAGGTTCGTGTATAGGATAAGTGGTTATGTGCCGATGTCGTGAAAATTCCTGTTCCCTGAATAAATGTGCGCCGCGGTATCGAGGCTGACATGGACGCTTCAGTCAGGTTAGTTGTGAATTTTTGTTTTGATAATGGAGCAGAAGCGAAGTTCTTTTCTCTTCGTTGATAAAGATCCCGCTACACGTGGAGGGGGGGGGGGGGGGGGGTTCTTTTTTGATGATTTCATATAAGCAAGTGTGGTATTGGGTGCGTAATTTAAAAGTTATCTACAGCAGCACAGTGTTCTGTATGCACAATAGAAGACCCGTGTATCTGTTTTTAAGTACAGCGTACCATATCAAAGTCAATTTTGTCATTGGCGAAAAAGCAATCTGATCTTATTACTGAAAGCTGATAAGAATTTATAAAGATTGTGGCTACCTATAAATTGCTAGATCATTCTGTCCAGACCATCTCATTTGCAGTGAAAATATCAATGTTGGATATTGACTGCAAAAATTATTTCGCTTACGAGGATTGTTAAAGGGCAAGCGTCTTGAACCTGATTGGCTAATGCAATACTATTATCTTGTTTGTTTAGTACAAAGCATGGAATCGAGGTTGAATTTTTACGGCAGTAACAATTCATGAAACAGAAATAAAAAGTCGCGAAACAATGGAATTCCACCCAAAACGATTTTGTTGTTTTAGCCAACTGCTAACGCGACATATGCGCTCGAAATGACCTTCCTTGTGGAGAGAGCATTCATGTGCCGCGCCGAAGACGGAATCAGTTTGAGATTCCTTCACCCAGAAATCACAATAAAGATAGAGAAATGTTCTTATTTAGGACTCAGACTGACAGGATCACGTCACTTGCCAATATTGGGTGCTCTTCTGTCTGGGAGATAGAAGTATGAACCCAAATAACATTCTTCAGGAATGGACTCAAATCGCATTACCTAATCCGTGACATTTCACTTCCTAGAACGTGCTTAATCCGCTTTCATTAGACAAGATGACGGGGATTTCCCAATATACTTCGACCAGGGGTATAATGCTTTGAAAGAAAGGAAGGCTTTCTGGTAAAAATGTGGCAAATGTAACATGAAAAGTAGAATATTCTGACATTTCTTTGATTCAAGTTTAGAAAAATTGATATTTTTTTGCTTTTCCTAAACAGCAATTTGTGATATTTTCTAGCAACAGATATAGAAAGAGCTGATATTTTTTTTGCCTTCGTGAAACTGAGCTTATACTATTTGATGACTTATAAAATTCTCTGGCAAAAAAACCTAGCACCCCTCCCGTGTGGCTAAGTTTCGGCCCAAATGTTGAGAGGTTTTGGACAGGTACATTGACCGATAAACGGAATGGCTGAGTCCAATTCATTACTTAAATCCTATTTTTCCCAGACGTTCATAATCTGCTCGAAATAGCTTTCAATAGGGGGTACTGCAGCTACAATTAAGACCAGAAAGATTGAGTCCTGGATCCTGTATAAACAAAAATACCTGCATTTGGCAATAGGTTTTTAAATGTTATGCTCTATGATGCCCTCCTCCGTCCTCTCTTTCCAGAGCGTCGCCTGGTGGCCATTCAGGAATGGCTAAGTTTCTCTGTGTAAGGCTGAAAAGTGAGTTCCCTTGTTTAAACTTTGAATCGCTTTGGAAGACAGACCTCGTAAAGGAGCGGAAAATAATCAAAGGTTTCTCAATGTATGTTTGTATTCTTTCAAGAATAAAAAGCTATTTGGTTGAGTTTGTCACAAAACGCACGTCGCGGTTCGGTTTTGGTTGACTCATCCGTGAAATACGATCTCCAATTGAATGCACACCAAGAAGTTGTCAGAGAGAGCCATTGGTTGTAAGGGGCCTTGAAAGACTCAGGAAGCCGGACCTTATGGGTCACTGTACGACTTTGTTTACACTCCACAGTCTGAAATGCTAAAAAGAAACCTTAGGAATTCAACGATTAGAGAATCAAGGAAGAAGAAAGAAGAAATATTGCAGGTCTTATCTATCTTTTTCTAAACTTCTTTTTTAAATTTGTTGTACGATGAGTTGACATCCGCTATCAGAATTGTTATCTCAAAAATTTTTCACTTTCCATTCTATTGATAAAGAAAAGTCATTCACTATTAATAATGTTGTTTCGAATGTATTTTTTATTTCCTTTTGAGGCAAAATTTCCCGTTATCTCAACCTTTACGAATTTGTTGGGTTGTAAAATAAGTCAATTGTGGAATGAAAAGGGCCAGCCACATAAAGCTTCCTTATGGCGACGAATGTGTTTGATTGACCAACCATCGGCTCATACAATTGACAATGCTGATTTCAAATACCGCTACAAACTCAAAGTTTTCCAGCATTGTGAACAGGGGCGTAACTTGGCCAATAGTTTTGGGGGGGTGAAAAGGGTTTCTGCCCTGCAAAACTGAGTGGTGCCCTGCAGACCTCGTAGCAACGGTTTGTCTATAGGTTACTAGTGAAAGCTTTACCAGTGTACACTGGTCTTTACCAAGGACAAACTAATAAGCAATAAAAACAAACTTGAAACTTCACTGCCTATGAAATTTCTATTTCTCTACGTGAGCAGAAATTGTTTTTTTTTATATTCACTTCATTTAATGTTGGTTTGCAAAATTAAGCTTATAAACAGCTAATTGGGGNTACTTGTTTAAATGATTTTGTACTATGTAACTAGGCTTATATGTGCACTTTGGTAAAATTTCTGCTATATCTGCTTCATCTATAAACGGAATTTTAAAAATTTCATCTCTTAAAGAATGTGTTCCAGCTGCTGTAGGAGTTGCCTTCTCTTTCATTCTCTTTAGCAAATCCGGCTTGAACTCTACAGCAGGGGTTTTGTAACCCCATATAGTTTCCGTGGGAATGTAAGGTTCAAATGTGACAGATTGCTCGTTTCTCCTGCATGAGGCATCTTGGTGCTTTATAACTATTTCAACATTTTGGGTACCATGACCCTGTTTATGAAAGACTTCAAAGTAATACTTTCGATCTTTTTCAAGGTTAAGTTCCCCCTTTGTTTTTTTACCTTCCGCGTTCGTTCTAATAATTTGCTTTAATTTCTCCCTCGTCTGGTCATCGCTTATCCAAACTTCAGAGTTACCACTTTTAATCTTCAGATCAATGCGAAAGTTTCCGCTACAGAATGGTATCATGTAACCAACCAACCACACCGCATAGTTCTTACCGTAATTAGGAAGCTTGAAACTCTTAGAAAAGCGCTTCCTAGAAGGCATGTAGGGGAATAAAGGATAATTGAAAAGATTGTCTAGACTTTCTCCGCAGATTTCATCCCAAATGAATACGTTGAAAATTTTCCCAGCTGAGTTCTTAAGGATTTCACCTGCACGATCACGATAAGTCATCTCTGCGCTGTCCGGTTGGTTCATCGCAACGTTCCGCAGTTGCTGGACACGATTCAAGGTTAAATTAAGAGTGCGATCTTGCTCAGAGTTGAAATTCTGAACAGGCTTAAATAGTTCTTCTCGTTTAGTGTCTGCGTAAACAGGAATTCCCAGTCGCAGGCCATTATTCCTCTGGCCTACCAAAAAAGCAGGAACACGTAGGTAGGGAGTTCCTCGAATCTTTGATACATAAACCCACTTGCTGATCAGTGCTAAACTTAAGAAGCAAACAACAATGCTAAACACAATGCGTACTTTCCATTTTGAGCCTCTTGGCAGCCTGATAAGCATAATGCCTGTCTTTTAGGTCGCTAGATTCTTGAAACAAGGACTCTCTCGATGTCGCAAGTCGCAACTACCTAGGCCAGTGAATGCATGTCATGTCGATGCTCCGGCGCAGTTCCGTGTCCGGTTCCCGGGCAGATCCAGTGTCCAGCGCTATTTTCATGATAATTCTCCCAACTTCGGCATTTTGCATTCTAAATTGTCAATAGTGTTCAAAGTCAGTGTTGGTAGTTACTTCACAGTTCAGTTCAGTTCAGTTTCATATATTTTAAATTCATTACATACAATTTATATATAATTTGTATGTAAGTAACTAAACTACAATGAAAAATATTACAGAAATTAATATATTGATACAGAAAAATTAATACAATATACAATACATAGGACTGGGATAAATGGTATGGAGTGAATTATTTAAAGGGGGAGCTCTCTCAATGGATAAACTAATCGCGGAGAGAGCCCCCCCCCCTAATATCCTATCCACATAGATATGTACTATAGTTATTTGCATTTGGATATTAAGACTTTCAACGAAAATTTTAAAGAAAGATAGCAGGTATGTAGTTGTAAAAGGGGGGCTCTATGAAGTTTTTCTAGTCGTGTAATCATCCACAACTGGGTATATATTTTTCATCGTGTTCTTTCGGACCCTTATTCTGATGTCTTATGCTCTGAGGAGTGTCAAACAAAAAAGCTTTTAGCCAATCCACATTTATAAAATGTTTGCTCTTTTCAAAGCCATTTTCAAGCTCTGTACCGCCATAAAACGGTTGTTAATTCAGGCAACTAACCCCATTTCTAAATGCAACAATAAAAACCAACTCTCTATACAAAACTGCAACCAAACGTACTCAGTAAGAAATTATTCAAGAATTTTCCATCTTTATATGTTAAACGTTGTGTACATTTTCATACATACAGTATGAAGCTAACAATGCATTTAGATCTATCTGTCGTTTCTCTTTTTTCCTTTTCGTATTTAGTCGGTAATGGCTGACCTGTGGCGAAGTAACAATTCTTTACAGCTTCCTTTCCTGTATCAAAGCACAAACGATGAGGGGGAGGGGGCTGCACCCCCCTGAGCCCCCCAGCACTGCATCTCTGGCTACTGTAAAACAACTATGTTTTACGGGTAAGGATAGGCAAAAGAAGGACAACAAAATATGTACAAAAGTTTTCTTCAATTTTCAAACGACTGCGGTTTCAACGTAGCTTCAAAAAACTAAAACGACTTTCATCTAACGAACGGCAACTTTACATGCGACTATAGGCGACTTCAACTGAACGATACGACACGACTTAACTTCACGGCTTCACATAACGACTGAATTCACAAACAAAAGGGCACAGCATAAAAATCACACGACAACACACCTTAATTACGATAACAATATAATTATTTCAAACAACAAAGGACTAATGACAACAATAGTGGCGATGGGATGATGCAATAACACGGAATGTTGATGGCAAGGTGACAAACAACGGAACTATCGAGAACATCAAAACTAAATAAAACATAAAACTAATTGCATAACACTACAGCAACAAACATGAAGCTTTTGTGACCAATAAAATTACCATAAAGCAAAATTTTTTTTCTGTTGTTTATTCAAAACAGACTGTTCACCATGAAAATATTATCGCTTTGTTGAGTTTGGTTTAATAGGACTGAAGATTGAAATGCTTCTCTAATGAAAACATTTTCAAACCAATCTTTTGGTGGTACAAAACTTAAAAACGGCACCGAAAAAAGCTAACATTTAGTAAACTCGGCGCAGGGGCGCAAATGCAACTTTGTTTAAGGGGGGTGTTATTTGAAGGGACCGAGTTTTCGCCACGACAGACCGATTTTTGCGATATAGATATTGTCGGGGCCACTCTCGAGGGCCGTCGCGAGGCAGGCCTTGTTGAGGGGGGGGGGGGGGGGGTATGATTACAAATTTACCTGATTGAATAATGATTGCCTAAAATTATATAATTGCAGTCATAAACCTCTGCAATACATTTTGTGAATCTAGCTCTGTATATAATTCGCCACATATATTTTTATATGATAATAACGGACTTTCCTAATAGTTTTGTCCAGGGGCGTAACTTGGCCAATAGTTTTGGGGGGGGTGAAAAGGGTTTCTGCCCTGCAAAACTGAGTGGTGCCCTGCAGACCTCGTAGCAACGGTTTGTTTATAGGCTACTAGTGAAAGCTTTACCAGTGTACACTGGTCTTTACCAAGGACAAACTTCTAAGAAATAAAAACAAACTTGAAACTTCATTGCCTATGAAATTTCTATTTCTCTACGTGAGCGTAAATTGTTTTTTTATATTCACTTCATTTAATGTTGGTTTGCAAAATTAGGCTAATAAACAGCTAATTGGGGGGGGGCACATGATGTAGACAGCGCAACGAAATTTAATTCAGTGGGGCTAAGAGTCGAGTTTAGTGAGGTAGGAGGACCCACCATGGTTGGGTCCGACGTGAAGAAATTTTTTGAAATTATACCTTGTAAAAAGGGCTAAAAAGCATCTTTCAGAAAAAAATTTAGCAAAATACTATTGTGCTAAAAGAACTGATTGTTTATTGAAAATATTATTGTTTATTGGGAAAAATAGGGAGGGGGATGTCATGCTAAAACTCTAGTGTTAGACGTTTGGGAAGGAAAGAAACGACAACCTTTCGTTTCAGATTGCACGTAGTTGTGAATGACAGAGGAAGATGTTGTTTTGATTGGGAGAATTTTTTTTCCTGAACAGAAATGTGCAGTTTCTTGTATCAAGAAGGCCATGTTAACACATCCAAAATTAAAACATTGCAATGATACAGAAAATGATTTACTGAATTAATGCAAATAAAAGAAAAATAATAAAAATATACGTGAAAAAGTTAGCAATTAGATGAAACAAAATCGGTATCTCAACGATTTATTATGTTTTTAGTTCATGCACTGTTAAAAAGTAATAGAAAAAATGATAAAAAAATTCCTATCTTGACCAAAGTGAGGGACTTCAGCCCCTTATTCCCCCCCCCCAGTGACGCCGTGCTTGTCATGAAAATAATTTACAACTTAAATTAATTTGCATGACTCAACCTTGCCCTCATAAACATATGCATCAACCATTGCATCCATTGGCTATGACTTTCGGTAAGAAATGCTTTCGCTTTGCAAATAACGGAGCTTTTCCTTACATACCTGTTCCGTTCTCTAAAGTGCAATGTCAGGAAGGGAGGTTCATAACAAATACGATATTTCCATTTCAAAATTCCTAAACGGCTCTTTATGAACTTCAGAGGTGGCATTTCTGCGTGGCAATAAAGCTCTTCTTGGCGCCCTGCGAAATCTTCGATTGCCCTGCGAAATCGACTATTTTTTTGATTGGGGGGGTGTCACACACCCCCCCGGTAGTTTCGCCCCTGATTGTGAATGGTGTTGTTTCGAATGTATTTTTTATTTCCTTTTGAGGCAAAATTTCCCGTTATCTCAACCTTTACGAATTTGTTGGGTTGTAAAATGAGTCAATTGTGAAATGAAAAGGGCCAGCCACATAAAGCTTCCTTATGGCGACGAATGTGTTTGATTGACCAACCATCGGCTCATACAATTGACAATGCTGATTTCAAATACCGCTACAAACTCAAAGTTTTCCAGCATCGTGAATGGTGTGGTCAGGAAACCCACCCCCTCCCCACCAGTTCTTTACTTGCTTATCTTGTCACCCTGGCTATGTTGAAAAAGTCAAAGAATTAGAGCCTGTTTATGCTCTCTATCGAAACGAAAGACACCTTTTTGTAAAAACAAATTTAAAAGAAAACCAGCCTCAAATTCGTTGAAACGACAAATTAAGGACAGACGCTGAGATACTGTAAAATACAATTTTGAGCAAAATTGTGATACCCTCTTAAAGATTTTCAAACTTATCGGCAAATATAGGTTGGTTCGCTCATTTTTTTGGAAAATGGGGTCTGAATACTCTCCTCCGCAGAGGCTATTGGGGAGGGAGATAGGGAGGGAAAAAGGATACAATCCCCAATAGCCATCCCCAATAGCCTCTGAAAACTCATCTTAAGCCATTGGAGAAAGTTTGCGTTGTGGTTTTTATGAATTTGTTGTTTATCAAATGGTCAATAATAACGGGCACATCTCACAAATACTACATTCATTTTGTTTTATAAGAAACTCGCTATACAATACAAGTACTGGGCAGTCAAAAAAATTAAGAAACTTCAGTACTCGAAGCAAAAAAGTTAAGAAGCTTTTGTATCTCGAAAAAGGCAAGAATTTGAAAATTTTGTGAAAATCTTTCAATATGATATGATTGGTATAACAATTTAGACAGAGGATGAAAATATACTTCCCCTATTTAAGTACAGAATAAGAACGGAAGGGAAACAAAAATTTCATGAGTATTTGAAAACGATAATGATAACGACTATTGCCTTCGTTTACAGCCACGAAAACTGTTACCAAAAATCTTCTAGTGGAAAATTTTCTAGCATTAAAAATTTTAACATAGGATCTCGAAAGGCTTAAAAAAGTGATGTCATAGTTAAAAAACTCTTAAGAAACAATGAGTATTGGAGCTTCCTAAAATGTTTAGAAACTGGAGTGTACCATTGTACCATAATAAAATCGAGGGTACAAGATTGCATCTCTTAGATACTCTGTCTTCATTCAACTACATTCCTTTTCTATATAACATATAATGTATTTGATATTGTTCTTATTTCAGCATTTATTTTTCTACAACTACATACTAGCAATAATTCTTATTACCACAAAATAACAGTTTTGGAAGATATTTTTAGGGCCCCGATTGATTTGCTCATAACATTTAATCTACGCTGTTTGCTCGGAACATCTAATCTACGCACATGGTTGGGCATGTTCTTAAACTGTTCTAATTCTTTTTTTGCAAATCGAGCCGCCGTGTTCTTAGGAAGTGTGTTTTTTTAAAAAGAGTTGCGGGGCCCGCACCATGAATTTGAAAGCGTGGCGGGGGCAAGGCTAGAAAAAGTGGGAGGCCAAGGCTTCTTACCCCCTTTACTGCAGCTTTTAAACTACTTGATTTGCTTGTAGTGGGGGCATGGCCACTCCGGCCACCCCCCCCAGTGGCGCGGGCCCTGAGTTAATGTCTGAAAACCTTAGCAATTAACCTGTACCGAAGAATTAGCTGGAAACTGGCACCAGTAAAGAAAGTGGAGCGTTCTTGCTTGCAGCAAAATAAATCTCCTACATAAAAATCTTTTTTTGCTCACTGTCAGAGCGTTTGACATCAATTTGTTTCTGCAAGAAAGGCCTCTTTTTTAGGAGTTGATTATAAAATTTTTGAAATTTTCAACATTTTGAATCGAAATTTTCAAAAATAGTATCGTTTTTCACTTATCGTTTTCTGTCTATGACTTTGTTAGTGTTAGATAAAACAAAAACTACATAACCATGATCCAAAATCTTATGGTGTGGAAACTCTTTTAGTCCAGCTGTGAAAGGTCGCGGCTGTTATGTCTAAACTTTCACTTTGCAAGTCTTTTTTTAAGCATGGAGCTGCAGCAACTCTCGTGTTTATTATCCATTTACAAGATATCATTTTTCTCAGGAAAAATCTATGTTAGAGAATAAATGAATCTTTAACTATGATGCTCAGAAATTTTGTCAACAATGCAAGGTCGTTGCAAAAGGAGGAGTGGAATGGAAAAGGGAGGCTGGGAGTGATGATGAAGTAGGCAGAGGGATGGAGGTAGAAGTGGGTAAAAGTGTAGCGCATGAAGGGGGCAATAGATAAAGGATCTTTTGGATGAAGAGGCGATGGGTGAAGGAGGCGTGGGGAATGTGGCAATTTCTGCTTTAAAAGAGAGGAGTTGGCGTCATCTAGAGCTTCTGGTGCATGATGCTTTGTCTGTAAATTTTCAAACTTTTCAGCCAGTATGTCAATAATTGACTAACCCCTCTCTCCTCGATTGAAAGTCTTTCAGTAGGCCAGAGATAGAGATATATAGATCGGCCTGCTTCCGAACTCTTGTACTTTTCTGCACATTTCCAAAATTTGAAGGAAAATTGGAAGATATGAGGGGCGCCATTTGCCCTCCCTGCCATCTCATCCCCACACGCCACTGCATGCCTAAGATTTTCTTATGATATATATCTTCATATGCTTTTCTGCACTATTTAATGTTGTTTGCTCTTCAATCTTCAAGGGGCATCCGCTATTTGGCTTTGAGGCTGCAACAAGGGGGAAGCTCCTGGGGGTAGTCCCACTAAGGCCTGACAGGGGGTCCAGTCGGTTTGAGGTTCTTACCAAATGGCTACCAAATCGCTGAACATATTACAAAACCTCTGTAATTTGGTCTCAGTTCATAACTTTATGAACTGAGCCAAAATAACAGTAATCCGTTAGCAAACTTCAAATCTTCTATTGGCCAAAGCTCACCCAATTTTTGACAAATTTAACTAATTTTGCATATATGGGGGTATTCCATGGTGTTCTTTCATGTTATTGGCCAAAATTCGAAAATTCTAAAAATAGTTTTTCTGTGGCGTCACACTTGAGAACTCTATAAACATCGTCGTCTTGGTATATTTCATGAGGGTTGCTTTCTGTTTCCATTACAAGAGGCTGCTGTGGTAACATGTTCCTTACCGTTTCATTGTCTTTTATTACCTGACAGTGTGCTGCCTCACTGCCGCATCAATTTAAAAAACAAGTACTCAAAAATTAAATAAAACGCAAAAGGTTGGTGGCCATATATGTACTATATCGCCGGTCCGTTGAGTAATATTTAATAGCTATCTAATACGAGCAATTTCTTGAATTTTTAACAAGATCTTTTCTGCTAAGTGATCCGCGATCATGACAATATTTTGATATTAGCTTCCTGTTGGCAGAGCAGTCGGCATTGGAATTTCTGAATACTGGAGACATTTATCTGGCCTCGTGCCCGAAACCAAGACCTTCTGCTGTTAGAAAAGTAAGCACTCCATTTCAAAATTTGTTTGCAGTAATCATTTATACGCAATCATGCCATGAAAAGGTTAATTCTCAGGTCACGCGCGAATGTCTTTTCACGCACAAAAATTTTTTTTCACGAATTCACGCATCGGAAATATGCTGATCATACAATCACGCCAAAATACCTGGTACCCCCTTATAAAGAAAATATAGTACAATTCGATAACTATTGGGGTTGGGGGCTCTAGGCCCAAGCCTTCCCACCCCGCTTCCGACGGCCCTGCATATAGGAAAAATCGTTTCTTCTCGGCGTAATACTTCACTTCATCTAAAAATGTTTATCATATTCTTAAAACTCTCTCCATAGTATGCTGAGCTGAAATTTAACCGATCTCAGTTTAAAACCGCCTTCACCGCAATCTCAAACCAGTTGACTTGAATTCGAGTCAGATCATTTTCTGCTTGTTATTCCCACAGAAAAGAACAGTAGAATAACTGGGCATTCCATGTTACATGTTGAAAAAAGTTAGATAGTGTAGTGACAATAGTGCTTCAAATGTAGCAGATCGTACTTGCTTTAACTTCCCACGTCCATATTCGATCCTGTCAGATTAAATAGTTCTTTTCATTATAATATAAGTATCGGAAACGGAAAATTCTTTTAAGGTGAGTCATTTATAATGAACGATTCAAGCCTGATTTGGCTCATTACATGAACAGCGCGCGGATCCGAACTTGTCGCGCGGATGCTAGCGCGGAAAAAGCTAAAGTTTTTCAGTGAAATCTTTATACCTCAAAAACCTAGCCTTTTCTTACAAAATTCAGCTACAAGATTCCTTATCTAAGAAGACGGGAGAAGTGCTGGGAGCTTCTCGGCAGAGCGGTTCATCAACACCGTTCAATGCTTTCACCCGCATGGAAACTGTCACTATTGTTGTAATAGCGACTTGTTTACCGTGGGCGCTACAAAAGTTATCTGGTTGCTCGTTTTCCAAGCTGCCCTTTGATAGTTCTACTACAATAACCCATCGAAAACATCGGCGTTTAAGATAATATCCGATTTCACCAAAAGTATTAACATTCCTTTTGTTGTGCTGCATATTTAAACACTATGTAGCTTTTTCTCTGTAACCAACACAATTCGCTTTATTCACTGTTCTGATTCTCTCATGCATTTTTGGGACACGCTTTGATGCACTCTTTCTTCGATTCAATTTAGGGCTCTCGGCAATGTCACAGCAACTTTTTCAGGAAAAGAGCTTGTCGTGTTTCATAAAGAAGTAAAACAAGAATTTATTTTCGATGACAGATAACAGAAGTCCGTGATATTCAAAATGAGTCGGATGAATCGAGCTGGCTCGATTATTCTAATCTTAACTGGTATCTTGATGTTCGCTTCCTGGAAGGCAAACGGTAAGTAAAATTCTATCAAAAGTATTACAAAACGGGGAATATTCTTCGACAGGGCATTTTTTTATAGCAACTATGATCAAGCAAGCAACTATGATATCGTAGCTGTATTATCTGGAAAGTCTTCTGGAAGCAAAGACTCTGCTGGAAGCGAAGCGGTTATTGACGAAAAGTCATAAATAGGTCGCACCTTTTTGAAAAAGCGCTGTGTGGGTGAGAATCCTTTTAACTCGCGTCCTCACTGTTTTTCGCTTGAAACCTGACAGGATTGCAATACAATGCTTTTATCATCATATCGCTCGGTTAAGAACAAGCGGTAGTTAACTCTGTTGAAACATGAGCGGTATGAGACAGAATTACCAAACAGTTTTATGAAACATTTTAAAGTGCAAGTTTTCGCCTAGCTTTCATCAGGGTTGGTATATTGGCTTTTTTTAAGCCAAATTCCAGAAATTTGGCTTTTTTCGAACTTGTTTGGCTTCAGAAATTCCTTTTGGCTTAGAGTCATTTTTTGGCTTAATTTTGGCTTTTTCCCACAAGTACGGACATAAGTATTTATTTCCTACCTTCCTTCTTTTTCATCATTCTAACAGAAATTGAGAATTAATGCATATATTTTACTGTGATTTTGACACTTCGTTGAACATCTGCGATTTTGTCCACTTTGTCCGATTGTTACGCGGATTTTGCTCTGTTCTTTATTCTTTCTGTCATATCTATGTTTCTGTCTGTTGAAGTAGGGTTTGGTAACCGCGATGCGAAAAGGGGGGAGGGAGACTTGGAGGAGGTTGTGTCGTATGGACTGACTTTGTACTTTATCTAAATCCGATGATAAAATGTTGAGGGAAGGGTAAATATCCTGATAGCAAAAACGGCTAGGCCTAAAATTTTCTTTTTGCTCCCCTGTTGCTTTGTTTTAATTTTACTAAAAATGCGTTCCCTTACATGTACATCATGTGTTAGAATTCTATGAAGAAAATGAAAAAGTATTCCGTCAGTCAGTTGAAGAACAACTAAGCATTTTCACAAGAGTGGAAAATTTAAGCCGTGGGTAGAGAAATACGTAAGGGTTAAAGGGGGTCCAGCACCCTACGGATTGAACAAAAAGTTACTTCTAGCCTCGTTTACAACTTTAAAATGGCTATTGTTTTGCTGCCTCGTTTACATTTTGGCTTAATTTGGCTTTTTTCCAACATTGATTTGGCTTGAAGCCCCAAAAGAATCTACCAACCCTGGCTTTCATAGGGAGGCCATCGAACGACGTATCGACGTTGCTAAGAAAAGCTCGTTTTATTCCTTTGTGGGACCTTGAAGATCAGAGCTGGTTGAACTATAAATTGAGATATTGGGGCTACAAATAGAATAATCTAGCATTTAACAGGGGCGGATCCAGGCTACCGCTTTTGCCGCTTGAGCGGTCGTCGGATTATTCCTCTACTAATTAATCAAAATAAGAGATACGTTCGATTTTGATTCCACTATTCTCGCTAAACCTTATAGACTCATTTCTTATAGAAACCAATAAATTGAAGTTCTGTGGCTGTCTTTTATTAATTTTTCCACAACTATTAGGCTAAATTGTTCTTATTTTTCCTTGAATTATTAGATCGCTATTATTATTAGAACGTGTAGGCAGTGCGATCGCTTTCTATTGTGCTCAAGTTTACCCTGGGTGCCAGAAGCTTCGCAATTCCTTTCCCCGTTCTTCATCCTTTAACATTCTGAAGCCCTGGTACCCAGAGTAGCTCAAGGCCAGCTCAACATTCACCTACAAAGCACCCCTAGATCGCTAAAAACTCTTCGAGATGGAATTATCAAGAGGATTCAAAATACATTCACAACTTATTCAAAATAACATTTTACGGTACCTAAGCCTCAGCTTATTTTAAATTGGTTCTTTACTTTTGACCAATTTTGGGACTCATTTTCTTGCAAAATTGTTCTTACAAAAGAAGAGTGTAAACTAATTAACCCTTCCATTAAACCTACACAAGTTAGAATTTGCTAGCACGGTAATCATGGAACTTTTTGCCTGTTTCTAATACCAAATCGTTGGTCTATGAACAGTGGCGGACTGGCCCACCGGCCCTTTAAAATCTGGTAAAAGGGCCTCATTTTTGCAGAAAAGAAGCCTTATTTTAGGAATATGAGACTTGCTTCACCATGTCCCATTACGAATAATAAACCATCACTGATTACATCAAAACTAATGTTGAATATAGCACCATATAGTGTAATGGAATTACGATTTTACCCGGACAAAAACAATATAAAGCTGAAATTTGGCACATAGGTTTCATACTATACTGGGAATAACCAGAAAAAAGCCCCGTCGATTGGGAATTCGTTGTTTGGGCAAATCCCATAACGGCGCACTGATCAACAGGGGTTCAAATTTTGATGTCGCTAAAACCATATAATATCAACCACGTAGCTGTAGGTGTCGGCCTAGGGGGGGGGGGCAAACTCGAGCAAGAACCATACCTGAGGGGGGCAGGCTTTAAAACAAGAAAACAGATATATAACAAACAGCCCCCCCGTGCCCCCTGCAGCTACGTGGCTGTATAATCACGGATCCTCCTTTAGTCGAAATTGATGTTGTAAATATTTTAGATGCATTTACTGCCCAATCCAAACTTTTTCTTGAATTCGGCCAAAATTCCTAACCATGGTGGTGACCTTTAGTAAACCCCGGAGCAATCTAAACACTTTGCCCCCCCCCCTCATTACCACCTTCCAAGAACGTTTCGCCAGCCCTGCCTATGCTACTGATGCTTTCATATTGCTAGCCTGAAATCCAGACAACAAACTAGAAGTATTCTAACAAATTCTAGCAAATTCATGCCAGCCCCAGACAAACTAGAAGCTAGTTTAAACCAATTAATTTGAATTACCAACGCTAGATATAATGTAAATTAGGTATAACAGATGTTGCATACGTATTCCTTGCAAAGATCACAAGTACAATTGAACGATGAAAATTTGGAGGTTTTTCTTGAATGTTTGTAAAGTTGTTGAGTATTTTATTTGGTTTGGAACTGAGTTCCATATTTGGGTACATTTGTATGATACGGTACTAAATCCATTTCTTTTTTAATGTGGCTCCACTGTGATGAATCTGGCGTTTCTTTAGCTATGTGATGTAAATTAAGAAAAACTAATAGCAATATTCCAATAGCCTTTTAAGCCAGCTGTAAAAGTGTTCCACAAAAGACTTCAATGATACCCGTAAACTTAATTTGAATTTCGGGGTCCTTTCTCGACGAATTTGCCCGGGCCCTAGATTTGGAGCCAGTCCGCCCCTGGTTTTAGCCTTGTGAGTTCTGACGTTGATAGTTTTGAATCTCCCTTAATCAATAAAAAGAGTATCTGTGAATTTACATTAGTTGGATCTAAGATTTTGACTGCGAAGGTTTCATAAAGATGGAAAGAATTGCGATGCGGTGTTATCGTTGGGGAGTATCTAAAGGTTTTCGCTCCTTTCAGCACAGAGTCGTATCACACAGGAGCAACACCCAAGTTAATATAAGTTAACTGATTGTCTGTGACTATTGATCTACTTTGATCAATATTGATCAAAGTAGATAACAACATTGATCTACTTTTATCTGGAATCCAGACACTGGATACCAAATGTGATCCGTGACGGTCTTTGCACTTCCAACTTGGAGCAATACTAGAACCGCGATTCTAGAACCCTAAAAATAGCAGCGGCTTTTGACTGAGAGCATGGTGCGGTGAAGTTCTTCTGCTCAAATGGTCTATCTATGACCACTAATAAACTGCGCCCCTTCATGCGCACCCCTTTCGTCTGGGCCTAGACCGGCTTAGACCATACCGGAGTTTCTCACCAACTTTCGTGTGAAATATTGTGACCAGATTTCAGGGACTAATCAGTGCAACAATGAAAAATTTTCTCATAAATAACAAAAATGTCATAGTTTCATACACTAAGTTAACAAACTGTGTTATATTTTTTTCGGATCTTTTGAATTGATGAATCTTCTTTCTTTCATTACAAAAGTTAAATTGTGGTGTGGCCCTCAGCATGCCACACCCATATTTTGTAGAATATAACCAACTTTTTTCAGTGCGCGCCGCCACTGACCTCTGGTCAAACCTGCCTGCTACAGATGGAACTTCACTCGTTGCAAAGCAAGAATATTATCATACTTTATTTCATTCGCACACTAAATGGTTTTTCATCTATAGAAGTTGCAAATTGAAATGAAAATATTCAGCAAGAGGATCAGCAATTTTTTCGCGCGCTTTTCAATATTCACTCGTCCCGCTTTGTTTTTGCCTAATCCCCACTTATTTGCACATTCTAAGGGTATGTATGTTAAATAAGAGTTTTTCAGGATGAAACTCTCTTTCAAAAGATGTGAATACTATGTGGTTTTAGCAACATCAAAACTTGAACCCCTGCTGATAGTTGCGCCATTATGGGATGTGCCTAACTAAGGAATTCCCAATGTCCAATCGATGGGGCTTTTTTGCTGGTCATTTCCAACATAGCATAGAACATCAGTGCCAAATTTCAGCTTTATATTATTTTTGTCCGGGCTAGATAGGTTTTCTCACGCACTTTGTTGGCAAATGAGACCTGGACACCTCCCTAGAGCCAAAAACTAACAATCGCACTGTTTATACCCTATAAATTTAAGAACAAGTTAAGAAAAATTCAGCCTCAGATTTTCGAAAAAAGTTAAGAACAACCAGCCTGAACTTCAATTTACTGGCTCTTATAAAGAAGAGTGTATTGGTAAATGTTATTAACCCCTCCCCCCTTAAGGCACCGCAACCCTTTGCCCCAAATTATGCCAACATATTCATGACAGCATATTTTGAGCAATGCCCCGATGGGGTGTAGTCGAATATTTTGGACAAGATTTGTCGATGACATAATCTTCACCTGGCAAACACAAGCTTGAAAACCTACATCAATATATACAATACACCCTATATCATCCACAAAAATAGATATTAAAACCGTTTATAGT